TAATGAAATAATAATTTTCCCTTTAGTCTCCAAGTTGTTTTCTCTGCTTTAAACCTGCCTAACTCAGCAGTGGCAAAATAAGTAAAGAACAGACCAATTCTTCCTAATTGCTTCTCAATTCCCATTATGTTCCTTCCATTTCTAGAGATAAGAGACAAGGACGAAATGCTGTGCTACTTCTCCATAAACAAGATCTTCTAATAAACCAATGCCTTTCTACTTAATCCCAGAATATTCTGAGCATCCTCATGAGTCACACCGTGTGCCTGGGAGTTTTGTCCAAACTCTTCTTGAATTCTGTCATGTTTGGTGCTGTGACCACTTCCCTGGGGAGCCTGTTCCAGTGCCCAACCACTTTCGAGTTGAAGAACCTTCTCCTAATATCCAAACTAAACCTCCCCTGGTACAGCTTCAAGCCATTCCCTTGAGTCTTATCACTGGGTACCAGAGAGAAGAAATCAGTGCCTGCCCCTCCTCTTCCCCTCACGAGGAAGTTGTAAGTGCAGTGGGGTCTCCCTTCAGTCTCCTTTTCCCAGGATGAACAGGTCAAGCGACCTCAGCTGCTCCTCACAAGGCTTCCTCTCAAGGCCCTTCATCATCTTTGTTGCCCTCCTTTGGACACTGTCTAATAACTGAATATTTTTTTTATATTGAGGTGCAAAAAACTGCCACAATATTCAAGGCGAGGCTGCCCCAGTGCAGAGCAGAGTGGGACAACCACCTCCCTCCAGCATCTGGCGATGCTTTGCCTGATGTCCCCCAGGACATGGTTGGCCCTCCTGGCTGCCAGGGCACTGCTGACTCATATTCAGCTTGCCATCAACCAGGACCCCCAAGTCCCTTACCATGGCACTGCTTTACAGCATCTCATTCCTCAGTCTGTAAAAGCAACCAAGGTTGCCCCAACTCAGGTGCAGAATCCAGCACTCTCCATTGTTGAACTGGTTATGGTTGGTGATTGCCCATCTCTCTAATTTTTCAAGGTCTCTCTGCAAGGCCTTCAGGCCTTCCAGGAATACAGCAGCTCCTCCCAGTTTCGTGTCATCTACAAACTTGCTCAGTATCCCTTCTTGTCCTGAGTCCAAGTCATTTATGAAGATGTTGAAGAGCAACAGGGCCCAAGATGGAGCCCTATGGAACCCCACTAGTGACAGGTCACCAGTCTGATGTTATTGCTTTCCTCATTACCCTCTGTGCTCAACCCATGAGCCAATTGCTTACCCACCACATGATGTGTTTATCCAACTGTGTGCTGGACATTTTGTTCAGAAGGATTCTGTGAGAGAAAGTATCAAAAGCTTTCCTGAAGACCAAAATGATGACATCAACTGGCTTTACCTTGTCATAAAAAGAAATCAGGTTTGATAAGCAGACCTTTCCTCTCATGAAGCTGTGCTGGTTGTGACTCATGACAGGGTTGTCTTTCAGTTGTTTTAACACTTCCCTGAATAATCTTCTCCATAACTTTACCAGGCACTGAAGTGAGACTGACAGGTCTGTAGCTTCCAGGGTCCTCCTTGCAAACCAGGACAACATTGACCAACTTCCAGTCAGCTGGGACCTCTCTGTATCTATTTTCTAATGGCTCATTCTTAGTGAGCATAATATCCATTCTAGGGTGTTATTCCTTATCCATCCCTTAATAGACTATTTTTTGCATTATTTTACTGTTTCTTGAGTTTTCACATCTCCAAACATTAATAATCCACTATGGAAGAAAATAAAAAGTCACTCTGAAGTCTGTGTCCTTTTTTATGTTTTGTTAGACTTCACTATTCAAATATTAGTTTTTTTAATTCAAATATATTTCAGCTATGAAAGAAAATTATTAGCACTTCCGCTATGGTATGTGCAGTTATTGCCACATCCCAGCTGGTATTCTATTCAAATTCTTTATCTATGAGAATTTCCTACTGCAAATATACTTCACTCAACACCTGTATGTAAAAACACTTGACATTCTTGTTTCATGGTCTTGACTCTTTGTACTGCAGTATGTTCACTGTAGAGCTGCTGGCTTTTGTGTCCATCTTTGCTTCATCTCTCTTGTTATTACCACTTGCTTTCTACTTCTACTCTTGACCATTGCTTTTTATGCTATTTATGAATTGTCCCTCATGTTCTGCTCCTAATCTGATATCTATTTGCTGGTTTTGTATGCTGAATGTCAGGCCTTGGGGTCAAGGACCACTTTTTTATTACGTGCAGAAGAGGGTATGAATGATATGATGTGCTGCAAGTAAGCAGCAACTTGATGGGAGTGTGGGTAGCAGAGCCTCAGCTCCTCTTGTTAGGAAAGCTGCTGCTGTGGCACTGATTTACACAGAGTCAGATCCCACACTGCTGGCTCTGGAAACAGTCCAGCCTCAAGTGTTTGTTTTGTTTAAAGATGAAATCTAAAGCTGAGCTCAGTGGAGCTAAAAACTATTTTATTACCCCATTTATTGCCTTTAAAAGACCAGGGCAGAAGCATAAGTACCATTTCTGTGCTCTTTTCACAGGGAAAAAGAAAACCTCATTTGTTCTGAAAAATGGAGCTCCAATGTTTTGTCTTTGTTTCTGGCAAGCTTCCAGCCTACCAGACTAGGATGCTTTCCATCAGGAGCTGCCAGTTCACAGACTCTGATAGGGATTGTCTCCTAGGTTTATTGACTGGGGGAGCTACGTGCATTGTTTTCTGTAAAATATAAAAAAAATGCTATATCCCTGGATATGGGTAGGAAGATGAGTCCCAATCTAAATTTCACAGTTCTGTTGGTATTAAGATCTTGTGCAGCTGGTCTGTTAATCGACCAACTTAATATCATATATTATAACAGTTAAAGTTTTTTAGCAGAACTTTTCATATATGAACAAGTATGACTCATCTACATACTGTAGATGATGCACACAGTATAACAGAAAACTTATTCACTTCTAGACCATTACATTAAGCAATTAGAAGCTAGTAATTTTTTTCCAATAGCTGGTTGGCTGGCATTTTTTTCCAATGGTAAGTTTGAAGGATCAAAGAAATCTAAGTGTGCAATAAAACATTGCCTGTTATTACCTGCTGTTTCAAGGCTCATAAATGTGACAATGAAATTAAGCAAAGTTAACCGATTAAAAAAAAAGGATTATGAATATAGAGAACAGAAAAATAAAAAAAATATTATCTTTACTCATTTAATCTAAGTTTTAGGTCAAATATTATCTTATTAAGTTTATCAGTATTTCCTCTTGCATTTCCTTTCATGAGTATATGAAATATATCAGAATCTCTATCTTGATTTTTTTCTTTCCAGAAAATGAAGAGACCACATAGGTGAGAGGGGAGAAAAACTGCTGAAGGTACAACTTGCAAGCATTTAGCATTCAATGTAAGATGCAGGTAAATGTATTCCACATTTTCATCCTCTGACAGGAAGAATTCTGGAATAGAAAGGATTGGCTCTGGAAGAAGCTTCATGGATGCTTTGTAATTTGCAAACCACCATAACTTACTGGAGTATATGTGATGGCAGCAGTCACCTTTCATCACTCATATGTGCCTGTCAGAAAGACCGCTAGGATGTGATCTGAGAAAGGCAACATTTTCATGTCATATTTGGAAGAAACTGTTGTTTTTAAGGCTTCCTCCCTACTGTACTTCTGGGAAGAAAATTGTGGTGGATTGAGCTTGGTTAAAGTAATTTCTTCACTGGGTTCAGACCAGAGGTTTAAACCAGGGTTTCCTGTGCTCCCAGGAACAGCCAAGAGACAAGGAACCATTTTTATAAATATCAATCCCTACTCCCCTACAAATATATTAATGTTAAAATTGCATTGAACCTTCAAAATTCAAATGTTCTGTGTTCCTAATGCCAATTTTTTTTTTCAATTCCACTCTCTTTTTATTTGCTCAGTTTTCCTACTCAGTTTCTTACTGTATTTAATACTGTTTTAAATATCCCCTGTCTTGCCACTACTGCTCTGCAGGATCCTGCTGTGCAAATTGGCACTTTAAGTGGAGGCACTTCATATAAGCAACTAACAACCACTCCTGGGGAGATACTTAGAGGAACAATTGCACTAAACTCTACCTCTTGCTTTGAAGAAAAATTAGACAGAAGAGAAAGAACTCAGGCTAACGGGAGATTATAATTCAAGTTTGATGTAAAGTATGAAACTATGTAAAGCCTTCAAGACCTGTAAAACTGCAAGAGGCTTTTCACAGTTAAAGGGAAAGATTAAATCACTACTTGGGAACCAAGGCTCAAAGTCAGTGGAGCCCCGCAGTGTTATTAAAATTTTGCAGCTTCTAAGATGTCTGCCCTGTCATCATTAAAGCTATTCTGTACTCAATGAATTATTATCCTGGTCTATTTTACTTGGAGTGGCCCTTAAAGTCAACTTATTTTTTATATTTTTATGCCTTTATCCCTCAGGATAGACAACAAAACTGTTATATAATTCATGATTATTCACGGTTGCCTGGCATATTTTTGACAAAACTATTTTTCCTTGGCAAAGATCAGGTTGACACACTTCAGATTTAAGTTTTTTTCAGAAAGATTTTGAATTTAATTTCCTTTAAGACCAGATTCTTGGGGACAATTTATTTTTTCAGGTCAAAATAAGGAAGTATCTTGTAGGTCAGTGAATGGGATCATTGCCCAAAATGTTAACCAGTTGATGATCAAATCCATAATATGAAATTAATATTGAATTAATTGTTACTTTGTGATGACCCAGTGCCTGTTTTTGTTCTTTTGTGGTTTTGTCTTATTTTTTATCCTCTGAATATCCTTAAATTTTCCCTGCTGTGGAATTAGATAGTATTCTTTGTATACAGGTCAAAATTAGAGTACACTTAAACTAATTCCATTATCTCATTTTATTTGTTGATTTCTAAATGGAAAATGCTCACACTATCCTCACAGTAGAAGCACATGTATGGACAGGCTGCTGGAGGTGACAATCAGTTATTGCTGGGCTAAATGAGGATCTCCTCTATTCTCAGGTGCTCTTAACTACTCCATTCCCTTTTTCCCTTCTAATTTGACATTTTGGACCCTTAGCAGAAGAAAATGCAAACTTCCCTGCTTCAGATACTTCCTTAAGATAGGCAGAGTATGGCCGCTGTTTTCTTTAGTTTTTTTATAGATACAAGGATTGCTATTTCTTCTTAACTATTTGAATTTGTGTACACAGAGTCCAAGTGTAATGCTATTGAACTGTCAAGTTATTATCCTTGAGGTTAATTCACTTAACTAATTAAAGCCATCCAGTCAGGATGAAAAGGAGGTTTATCTCCTCTGAAGTAAAACCCTGGTTCCATTGAAATCTGTGGAAGAAGCTTTTAGAGGCTTCAGCAGTGCTATGATTTCACATATAATTAGAGAGTGCTATTTTAAAACTACATATTAGGGTTGGGGTGTAGGGGGCAAGGGTGGTGCACAAATGTGGGAAATTTCTCTGAACAACTATCCAGTAGCCAAATCAACAAACTGGAAAAATTTGTGGTTTTTTTCTTGACAATTTTATATTTTAATATAAATATTATAAATTATAAATACTATAATATATAACATGAAAATAAATTTGGGGTTTAGCCTTGATTTTTCAAAGCAATGGAACAAATATTTTTTTCCCTACAGCTTCGTGTGCCAACTAATCATCAATTGGCAATCTGTTTACAATGTTTTATGCCAATATGAATATTTAGTTCATATCATTTTTTGATTTCACTCCTAGCGTTAAAAAAAAAAAAAAAAAAAAGGGAAAAATACAGCAATAGAAAAAACATACTAAAGGAGAAAAGAGAGGTTCATATTAATTTTGAGCAACTTCTTAGCAATATAGCAGAGTCTCTGATTTATGTGGCTGAAGGTAAGGAACAATTTCAGTATTTCTCATAGTATTATGAGGATGATGAATGACCTGTTTTGCTGTTGCAATTTTAGTAATTGCACAGAGCTGGAGTAAAATCTTTTCCTCTGAATCACTCTGGAGATAAAGGCATGAATAGCTTTGGCCATTTTGACATCACAGAAGAAATGTTGTTTTACCCTTTCTTTATAAACAGTAACCCAACCTCATTTTTGTTCAGACACCCATTTTCCATCTAAACTCACTCAAGATTCTACGCAGCTTTCAAAATTAATATCTATGTAGGACAGAGCAGGCAGACCACAATCCATAAGGAAAGTAGCTAGTTTACATATTTTTACTTTATATATCTGGCAAAGAATGACAGTATTTCATTAAATCTTGGAGGTTGCCTTTCAAAGGCGGGGAAGCAGGATTTATTTAAGGCATTTTTTTTATGCTGAATTGCTGCTTATCTTTAAGATTTGTTATTATGAAGTTGAAAAATAGAATAAAAATATGCTTTCCATTCTTTATAGTATAAGTGCATTTATTGGAATAGAAATTTAGGGAAAAAGTCCAATGGCACTAAAAATGAAGTCATATTAAAATTTGCAAGTTATTTTCTAGTATTTGACTGACATAAATCAAAGTCAGATGAAAAAAATGTGCAATTGGAGAAAAACAATGAAATTAAGAATGCCACCAATGATTTGTGATAGCAACATTAAAAAAAATTGACAAGGAAGAAACAGACAATATTTCAAGTTTTGTTGCATATTATGTAAAGATTAAAATCTTTGATTTCAGAAGAAGGATAAAATAAATCATGTTCTTAAGAAGATGATGCAACTACAAATATTTACTAAAAATAATTCTTCTGAAGCTTCATCTCAAAAACTGATTTAAGTGGATAAAACTCCAGTCAAACTAGAATGTGGCTCCCTTTAAAGTTCTAAAATATTTACCTTCGATTGTTTCAAAGTTGCTACCAATTGAAAAAAAAAAAGCTCAAAACTGAGAGCGTCAGAACACAGATGACTTTCTAAAGCTAGATGGGGGAGCATTGTGGACAAAGACTGACTTAGTATTACTGACTGCAGGATGGAATGTGCTCCAAGCCAGCTCCATCAGCTGGCTATTGTACTGTTAATGTATGAAGCTTTTAAATATTTATTACATTTGGAGGATGCAATACTGGGCGAGTTGCCGATAGTCCATAACTTGTGAAAATACGGACACGTGATTTTCCTTTGAGGTGGGTGTTTGTACAGTGTCATTTCTAATTACAGTTTTCCACCTCCTTATCATATTCTGTAGCTTATAAGCAGCCCCATATGAGCCAGTTAGAATCAGTTCATCTTTGAGAGAGGATTAAAAGAATCATAGGTATCCTTCCCTGTTGTAAAGGTTCATTGACAAATGCCAAGCTTGTTAAAAAGCAAAGGGGAATTATTATGCATTAATCATGTCTAATCATTTCTTGAAAATTCTTGTGAATGTCAGGAGCCCTTGGTATCCTTTTAATTCACAGGGCTATCTGTCACTATGCTGAACTCCTAGAGACCTGAATGACAGAGTAGGGTAGTCCAGAGGGCAGGAGCTCTGTTCTTCAGCAGACAGGGAGGTGACTAACAAAGCTCTGGAGTCATTCTACTGGCATTCACCAGGGTTGAGCCAAAGATCCAGACTTATAAACCTCTGACTGCCTTTAAATTCCCTAACACTCCTTAAATGAGGAGTGATGGTGATAGGAGAGGAAGAGTCAAGACCGACATGGAATTTAGGCTGAGTGTGACTAGTACTGGCAAAGACTTTTTATTTATTTATTTATTTATTTATTTATTTATTTATTTATTTATTTTTATTTTCAGTGCAGTTCTGGGAAGCAATAGCAGCCCAAGAGCTGGTACCTGGGTGCAGTGCTGTGGTGGCTTGTGGTGTGGGAAAGGGGAAGCCAAATCAGGAGACTGGGATCTGTGCTCCAAGGATACCTCACTGAGATAAACTACTCTTGTCTCTTCTGAAGTCTGCTAAAGAGGTTGAAATTGGTTATATAGGCCTGAGATTAAGCCCTAAACTTGAGGTCATGTGAAAGCACTGACTTGACAAGTTGTTGACATTTAAACCAGAAATTTTTTCATAATAAAAATATGGAATAAGTCTCTCGGCTCCAGACAATTTCCAAATCAAGTAACTCAAAGAAACTTCAAGCTATGTACTCTGTTTTCTTTTTCTTTTTCTTTTCATCCTAATTTTCATGGGTTTTTATTAAAGAAGTTCCATTAACCTAGATGCTATGAATGCTTACCGGATAAATTGCAGATGACGGCAGAATGAAAAGCAGTGAACATTAACAGGAAAAAAAAAATCAGCAAAAAATAAAATAATTGAATTTCCCATTCAGATCAGATAGAAAAGAAAGAATGGGTGTTATTTTTTTTTTTTTCTGTAGCCAGGAAACAAATGTAATTGAGCTAAATTGATCCTGCAGGAGGAGGTTTTTTATGTTTTTTTTTAAAAAATCAGATCTGCGTACTTTTTCATTTATTCCTAGTATCTGTCTTTTATTGAAGGTAATGTGTGCCAGGTACTACAACTACAAATATGAGGACTGCCATTCCTTCATTAGAACTGCCTAATGAGCCCTTTTCTCCTGGTCAGGTGGTGGGGAAACTTCCATTCTTCCTGCAGGCATGCAGGGATTTTTTTTATGGCTACAGAAAGAAAGAAAGAAAAAAAAGTAAAAAAAAAAGTAAGGATAGATAGATAGATAGATAGATAGATAGATAGATAGATAGATAACATACCATCAGCACATCTATATATCTGTTAATATATATGTAAATAAATAATTCAGGTAGCTTAGTTAACTGTAGAATGATTTATTTTAGCTGTGGATTTTTTTGGTATTTGAGCTCTAAAAGCTCCTAAAGATTGAGCTTCCTTGTTAGCAATTTCATTCCAAGAAAATATAATTTCTCTTAAGAATATGTAATATATGCTACTGAGGAAAAATCCCTGAAATAAATATGATTTTTTGGTAGTTCTATTGCAAACAGAGAGGATCAAGTCCCAGCCAAGTTAAGTGCAAATCAGTAAATTATAGCAGAGCATGACTAATATTTTTTCTGTAGATGGAAATCAATATTGGATAATAATAATTATGAATAGATGTGTGTTTAACAGCTCTATTAAGGCACTACCAATCCACTCAATTCCTCTCCTATGTAGTGTGTAAGAACTGATGGCAGATTGCAGTACAGAGAAAAGCGACAAGAGAGCAGTTGATAACCAAAGCCATGGCAGCAGCATTCTAGCACAAAGATGAAAACTGAAGATATCTCAGCTTTGGGTTCTTGGCCAATTCTGATTTCTTATTCACTGAGTTTGAAATCTGGAAGAAGCAGTTGCCAGCTATAAAACAACAGGATGTAAACATCTTCAACAGAGGCCAGAATGTGGGTTCAAACTCTGTAGAACATGAGTGGGAGGAGATAATACCTAAAAATGTCATAAATGACAGCCAACACAAGTACTAGCAGTCTTCTAAGAGGCAGAAACAACTGTAAAAGGTCATAAACCATTTTCAGAATTTTCCCTCTCTTTTAACTCTCTCTTAGGTGTTGTGGCCCTGTTTTTCAACCCCCTACACTTCCAGTTAGTGAAAAAGGAGCTAATGATGATTGTCACTTTAGCATGTATGGAGTTAAAAGCTTCACAGGGTTAAGTTATGCATTCATATTAGAATACGAAATGAATACCACAATATCTGGTGAGACTGTTCAGGGACTGCGCATTTTCTCTTTGCTGTTTCTAGCTCTAAAGCCATTGATCATCAGCTCTCTTTCTGTTCAGCTTAGTTGTCTATGTTTAAATAAACAGATTTTCGAAAGCACCTGCTTTTCACTATAGGTTATATAAACATTTTAGGCATTTGCTTTAAGGAGATTTGTTTATTAGGAATCTAAAATTTAAGCATATCCTGGATTCATATAAATTTTACCTTCTCCAGAATAGGCAACAGCTGATCAGATTTTACAAGAGGAACAGTTTTAGTCCTGAGTTCTTGAAGTGTGAGTGGGAAAAAAAGGCAGTTTTTCCCTGTCTTGTATAGCTGTATGGAGCTGACATTCTTAGCACTTACTTCAAAGATCTCTCTAAATCTCTGCACTTCATGCC